AAAAGAAGTAGCACATGCGGGTGATGGCCATTTTCAAGAACCCTGGCTTTATAGCTCTGATTGCAATAGGTAGAAACACTGTCAGTATCACATGACAATCGTGAGTCTTGCAGTGTGTTATTGACAAGTCCTTCATCGACACTAGCTTCTTCACATTTACTGAAAACCCAGTCGAAACTTTGACTCCCCTCAGGAAAGTACATATAGCTCTTTTCTCGTCTGGTGTTAGGTTGAAGCACACAGTGGGCAAATTGTATTTTCCGTTAGCCTCAGGTACCGGGTGAAGCTGTGGCATCACATTTAGCTATACCATGTCTTTCTATGCTTTTAGACCATCCTTTAACTTACCTATGTCCATCAAGGTAGCAATGAGACTCTCAAGACATTCTGCTGCACGTGCATAGCATCAATGGCATGGGGGACCTCCAAGTCTTGCCAATAAGGCAGATACTGAAAGAAGATCGATTGTTTCTTGAAAGGTACGCCTTCGATAGGAGGTGTGCTTCTATCTCTGCTCGTCCCATCCGGATTCTTCTTTCCATAGACGACGCGTATGTTTTTCACCAGTCTGTACACGTGTTCTTCGTTATAACGTCTCTCCGGAGGGGGTTCAATCTCCGGGGTGTTGTCATAAAATCTAAAGAATAATTTGCTGCGGTACTTGTGACTTGTCTTTAAGAATAATTTGCGTCGGTTCCTTAGGTAAACTATCTTCTTCGATGCATCTAGGTACACCTATGTAGTACCATCCAAGCAAACCAAGCATCATGTCTTCCCTTTGATCTGTCCAGATAAAGCAAACAGCGCGGGGTAATCATTGGTAGCAACAAATATTATTGCTCTACATATGAAGTCCTCTTTTCAGAACGCATCGTACATCGGCTCCCCATGCCTCCATAGCCTCTCCATTTCTTGCATCAAAGGCTCGAGGAACACGTCTATATCAATGCCTGGTTGTTTAGGGCCAGAAATAAGAATAGTGAGGTGAAGGAACTTTCTTTTCTAATACAACCACGTTGGGATGTTGTACATGGTCAAGATCACTGGCCAAGTGTTGTGGTCGCTCATCCTCTCATTGAAGGGATTCATTCCATCGGTGCTCAAGCCAAATCGTACATTCCTTGGGTCATCGTTGAATTCTTTGTGCTTCTCATCGACCCTTTGCCACTGACTACAATCAGCCGGGTGTGTAATCTTATCATCATCCACCTTGCGCTCATCATCCCACCATGTCATGAGTGCTGCTTCTTTAGGGTTTAGAAAGATATGTCTCAAGCGGTCGGTCATTGGCATGTACCACGTTACCAAGGCAGGAATTCTTCTATGCTTTGCATCGTTGCCTAATGGAGTGTCCTCTGGGGGCTGAGATTCTTGTACCATATTTTTTGTACCCTTCTTATTCCTCTTTTTCTTCGTGGAGGCTTCGTCCCCACCGTAAAGGTCATTGTTCTTGTACCGGCTGGCCCCACACCGGGGACACTTATCCAGTGACTTAAATGTTTTGCCATGAAAAAGTATACAGTGGTTGGGGCATGCATGGATTTTTTCAACCCCCATTGTCAATGGACTTATGACCTTCTTCACTTGGTATATGTTGGTGGGAACTGAGTTTGGTTGTGGCAGCACCCATGACAGGAGATGCAATAGATCATTAAAACTACAGTCTGACCAGTCATACTTAGCCTTCATGATGAGTAGATCAAGCACAAAACGTAGCAATGTCCAATGTGTCGAACATCCCTTTTCAACATCATACACAGTCTCCTTCGATGCTTTTGTCACCCTTTCTAAAATTTCTAGACCTTTTGAGTTACTTAGTAAAATCTCTGGTCCAAGGGCTCGAATCATGTTCTCCAAATTATCTTCATCCCCGACACGTGCTCCACCTTCATTATTGGCACCACCTTCGTCGTTACCATCCCACCCACCAGCATCACCACCTTGTTCATTGCCAAACTCAGAATCCATCCGTGCATCAAGCTCTGTTGAATATTGGGACAGGGATTCTATGGTTTCATCATCGTATTCCTCCTCATCCTCGTCGTTAACCATAACCGTTTTACCATGATGAATCCACACTGTGTAGTCCTCAATAAATCCTCGCATAATCAAATATGATCTGATGATAGTTACATCTGTCCATGTCATACGGTTCTTGCAATCTTTACGAGGACAAATAATTATATCCTTATTCTCTGTCAATGTCGTTGCATGCTTCTTTGCGGCTTCAATAAATTTATCCACATCTTCACGGAAACCTGCCTTGAACCTTAACGAACCATATATCCAAGAGTTCCTGTACTCCATCTTTTACAACAACAACAAAACAAACATTAAAGAACTACTTATTCAGATATATATAAAAATAAATTAAATTAATAATTATTTGAGAATAATTATATATACTTCAGATATATATGAATATAAATCAAATATAATTACATGAAGCATACAAACACACCATGGTAGAGGAAAATTAATTAATGACCCATTTATCCATAAATAATTAAAATATATATTTGTTGATTACAATAAACAATTTCAAAGACAACAATTAGAAACAATTATATTTTATCTAATATCTTTCATGCAAACCCTAGTCCAATTTCATCAAACACAAATTTACAAAAACGAAATTAATAAAAAAACCAAACCCTAAATCTAGATCTACATGCACATGAAACATCCATAAAACTAACTAATTGTTTACTAAAATAAAGAAACATGAACCAAATAAGGGTATGATCTTGTTCCCCTACCTAATTTATCCTAGTACATTTAAAATTTGGGTCTAATTTGCTTCATAAGTAGCTCAAGTACCATAGAAGAGAGAGAAAAACAAAACTCTAATTACTCACTAACCAACCATTAAAACTTCAAAAAAATGTGGAATAGCATTTTCTTACCTTCTACAACCTCTCCACCAAAGGATTTGAGACCAAAACATTTCTCCCTTAGTAGAGCAATTTTTGGGAGATGCCCAAGGCCTCCCTATCTTTCTTTCACGGGTTAGAGTGAGTGACCCGAGAAGGAAAAAAATGCTGCTGTTTTTTTATATGTGGGTCATTTATAGGGGACGGCTGCTGATTGAGCCACCCCTACAAATAGCAGGTAATTATACATGGTGCATTTGTAGGGGCGGTTCAATCACCAGCCACCCCTACAAATATAAACACTGGGAGCGGCTGGTGAGTGAGTCACCCCTACAAATCAGACACATTTATAGAGGCGGCTCATATCAACAGCCACCCCTGCTGTTCTATTTGTAAGAGTGGCTGTTCTCTGAGCTCCCAAGAACGTCACTGTAGGGGCGGCTCCATCACCAACCGTCCCTACAAAAAATTTAACCCGTTGCTACAAATCGTTTTTCACGTAGTGACACCGTTCTACCCAAACTCTACCAATAATGGCTGCGTTCGGCTGACCAAGAAAATTCACTGTAGCGGCTGAAAGCACTGTAGCGGCTGATATTTTGTGAGAGAAAAACACTGTTCCGACTGAAAAAAGAAGCGGATCAAGCCAGATTTGGGTCAGCCGAACGCAGCCAATATACAATCGATCAATAGTAGTACGGTAACAGATTGAATCCGACTGCTTGCCTATGACTAAAATTATGAATGAAAGATCTCGGCACACCTGTAGCGAGATAATTGGGGAGATCAAGTCACCAGAGATTCTTTTTTTTAAGAGATAAGATTCACACACGAGTATGCGTATAATTTGGCAAGAAGTAGTATTAATGCCGAGGGTGATACCGGTTCGCTTCACTGAAAAGTCAGGCTGAAAAATATTTTTCACTGATTTGTTGTGAGAGAAAAATATTATACCATATCGCATGAAGGTGTTTGTATTCCGGAAACAATTTCTTTGTGTAAGCAGATCTAAAGCTCTGAAATAATGCATGTGTTTGTTGCCTGCGAATAGCTATGGTGATAAGAACTGTTGTTTTTGTAAAAAAAAAAAACTATTCAGCATCTTTTTTTCCCCCCGACTGCCATGTAGCACACTTTTGTTTATAGAGCTTGTTTTATAAGCTAGAGACTTGCTGATTTGTACTGCATTTTGACTTAGTGTATAATTTATGCACAGATCAAAATGAAATTCACTTTTTTCTAATTAAGAAAGAAATACCCATGGTGTGGGCATGTGGCCCCGTATATAATTATAATCATATAATACGTGGCGGAGGGAAATGATCTTCTCCTCCTTAGGGCTCGTTCCGTTAGCCTGAAATGAGGATAGAAATCATTCGGTCTCGATCAAATTCATATAAATTAACTAAAATTTTAGCTACAAATCTTTCCAGAAAATGGGTCCTCGAACCGAAAGAGGGCCTTATCCGGAAAGGAGAAACAAGAGCAAATCTCTGACTAAAATATGGCTCGGGCATGCATGCATGTGTTTGCGGATAGCTTTGTTGTCGCTTCGTCATCAGCGCGCCGCCGCCGCACGCGGCACACCACACACGTCCACACCACACCACACCGCGTGTTATCCATTTCGCATCCTGCCCATCCATATCGTCCTGCACTCCTGCTCCCTCAGGCCCTGAGTCACTGACACCCTGCTCTAGCCATGGTCCTTGTGTTCCTACCAACAGCCAACTCTCTCCTTCCCGTCCCCAGAAGTCGCAAGGATAGGACATGACAGGAGCTGAAGCCTCTCAAAATCACCAACTAACCAGTAACTAATCGCAATTAACAATAGTGTTAATTAACAAAGAAGGAAAGGAGAAACTGTTGTGATTATATATGCAGGAGCAAACACAAGAAAGATTCTTGTTCTTGCCACAAGTGAAGTGGTGAAGTAATCAAGCAGAGTGCTTAAACTTTCCTGTCCAGTCTCCAGTGAATCCTGCAGGCTGCTGCAGACAAGACAAAGACGCGGACGGTGAGCTCGAGAGTCGTGAGGAGGAAGAAAGCACGGGACGGAACCAGTCTTTCCTTTGCTGACGAAACAACCGAGACCGAGAGGGCAGCTAGCTAGCTAGCTAGGCAGCAATGGCGACCTCGGCCAGCGGCGTCTCCCTCCTTGCCCAGCCGCTCCCTGCCAACGGCACCAGGTACACACACAGTCAATCACCATGTCCACCGTCATCGCGCGCGTTAGCTAACCGCATGCATGCTCCGTTCCGTTCGCAGCCTGTGGCGCGGCAGCGTCGGTGTCCGCGCGCGGGCTCCTGCTCCTGCTCGGTTCGCGGCCACGGCCAGGGCTGCGCACGCGCCCGCGCCCGCCGCCATCACCAAGAGGAGGACGCCTCGTTTCGTTAACGTTAGCGTCAGCGTCAGGTGCGTCGGCGTCGGCGGCACCGAGGCGCTGCGCTCCGACGCCGCCGAGCCGGCGCTGCCGTCGTCGGTGCCGCGGTCCGTGCCGGTGCGCGTCGCCTACGAGCTGCAGCAGGCCGGACACCGCTACCTCGACGTCAGGTACGGACGGCACAGCACAGCCACGCTCCCTGAATCTGATGGTAGTTGAGAGACGCGGCGTTGAAGAGCAAGAGCACACAATTTATTTATTTATTTTTACAGTCCCTTCAGTTGTGTTGCGTGATTCAGTAGTTAGCCTCTCCCTGGTCTGGGCTTGGGCTCCTTATTCTATCTCAGTGCTAGCTGCTGAATGAAAATGCGTGTTCAATTCACCACTTCCCAGTTCACTCAGATTCAGAGAACGAAAGAATGATGTTAGCTACCTCGACTGGGATTCAGAATTCTTGCAGGCTCGTCGTTCCCATTCTAATTTTCCTGTTTTGATCTGATGTGATGCTTCCATCCTGTATGTATGTAGAACGGAGGGCGAGTTCAGCGCTGGCCACCCGGAAGGAGCTGTCAACATCCCCTACATGAACAGAACCGGCTCAGGTAATGCCTCCCTGCCAAAACCATTGTTCTCACCACCATTGCTTCCTCTCTTCTGTTCTGTCTTGTCCGAGCCAGCCACTTCAGTTCAACTTCTGTGATTTGTGAGCATCTCCGTCTCCATGTAGCTGCCTGCATCATTATCAAAGCTGAGAAATGTGTTTTCTTTCGGTTGTGATTAAGTTGTGTTCGGTTCTGAACGTTTCTGAACTTGCTGTGCCACGCACGAGCAGGGATGACGAAAAACACGCATTTTCTTGAGCAAGTGCCGCGGATCTTCGGAAAGGACGACGAGATCATCGTTGTACGTAAACTACGTTTGCTGACTGAATCTAACTTTCAGAGATTATACGTTCATTTCGGTTGGTTCCTTAACTCTCAGTGGAAATTAATCTCGCCTGTTGTTCCTTCCCAGGGCTGCCAAAGCGGCAAGAGGTCTCTGATGGCGGCGACCGAACTCTGCTCTGCTGTAAGCTAGCATGGCCGTCCCAAAGATTATCACTTGGCCTTTTGCAATTCATGGCAATCCAATCATTGCGGCCATATTTTTCAGGGCTTCACTGCTGTGACCGACATCGCTGGTGGATTCTCGACTTGGAGGGAGAATGAGCTGCCTGCCACAATCCAGTGATCGATCTGAGCTTGCCTCGGCAGCATCATGTTGTTGGAGCTAGCCCAGCGTTCTGTCAAGCCTGTTCTGCTCCAGGATTGTACATATGTCTGATGTCCTCCATAGTTCTGGACGAATAAGAGTGCTGGAAAATGGAGCATGTAAAGTAAAGCAGAGTAGCAGCACAACAAATAGGGGATTTTTACATTATTATGCTTCATCTCATGTATAGTACATTATCTACTCGGTACTCCCTGCCCTTGGATGTTGCATTTTCACCTATTCTTTGTTTTTTTTAGCGAACCGGGGAACTGGATGTGCCAATTTCTACATTTTCACATATTCAGCCAGCCATTCCTGAGGAAACTCAGAACCGTATTGTCTTACAAAATGCTTAGCAATATCAAAAGAAGTTTAACATATTTCCTTTTTATTAAAAAAATGCAAGAAAAAACACATCTCCATCAGAGTTCAGAGCAGATTACAAGTTTATGACCAACATGAGTCCATGAAGTAGACAGTAGCATCTAACATGTCAATCTCCTTAAGGAAGAACTTTACCAATATATAATGTGGAACGTCCCAAAATGCGAGCCAAACATCGGCGTTAAAAAAAGTGAAGTTCCAGAAACACAAGGTTAGATCATCACAGATATTATATTACGTCAATCAATGTTTGACACCTAATGGTGCCAGTAGGAGTCCAAAAAAAACAGTAGTCATTTAGGAAAAGTATGATTTGAATTGACACAGAGATGTACGAATCTTAAAGCAAGATCAAAGAATCACATCATCGCCTGAACCAAAGACAGATTTCAGGCGCATGCTTTCTAGGAAAAGTGTTTTAAAAAGTCTACTAGTAGTGTCTAGCTACCATTTGAAAACCGAGAGAGACGCCCCTCCTGTACAGACTCCAGATTCTCCGCGATCCGCCCAAGAGGAACCGAAAAGGAACAGAGCCTCACGCCGGCGGCGGCGAGCGAGCGATGGCAGCGACCCTGGCCCGCGCCTCCTTCCCTGCGGCCCTCCGATCCCTTGCCAGCAGGTAGGCCACGGCTCCCGATTCCCCAGTTCCCCAATCCCCATGCGCGCGGTGTTGTACTCGGTTGAAGGCGACGTCGCTGCCCCTGCTCACCCTCACACGGTGCATGCTCTGCGTTTGTGCGACGATCCGCCGTAGATCGCGGCGGCACAGCGCTGCAGGAGCTGCTCTCTGCCGCTTCGACACCGCGGCTAGCGCCAAGAAGGAGACGTCCGGCGGCTCCCTTGTAAACGTCAGGTGCGTCATCATCCTCTCCGTCTGACTGTCTCTTCTCCTGATCGTCTTCTCCGACTCCGGCGATCGATCGAGATTCACATCCTCCAACTCCTGAAACTAGAAATCATCGATCCCACGCCCGGCCTTGGGATCGGATCTACATCCATATATGATTCATAACGCATGCCAACGTTGTGTCCTGTCATGTGGACGGATCATATATTATGTTATTAATTGATGGACTCCCTGATACTCCCGGTGCTTTCTGTTTCTTTCGCCAGGCACACCGTCACCAGCGCCGGCGGCGGCAGGGCGTTGCAGGCGGAGGCGGCTGCGGCGGTGCCATTACGGTCAGTGCCGGTGCGCGTGGCGTACGAGCTGCAGCAGGCTGGCCACCGCTACCTCGACGTCAGGTAGTAAACACGGTCACGCCACGCTACTGGCCACCGTCAGAGTAGAGAGTACGGTGACAATTGACAGCAGAATATATATATACTACCGATCGAACAGCAAATTAATTAATTAATTAATTAATATATAAATAAAGATCTACTGCCCGTAAACAACAACTACGATTAAATCGAACAGCTTTAGTTTCTTCTCATGTTCGATTTGATTTAATTGTAACGCCTCGCTGTGGTCTCGCCTTTCATGTTTATTACTACTGCTCCTCCTGCAGAACTGAATCTGAGTTCAGTGCCGGACATCCGGAGAGAGCTGTGAACATCCCCTACCTGTTCAGAGCCGGCTCAGGTAATGCCTTCCATTCCAGCCTCTAACAACATTGTTCTAACTAGTGTGTGTCCGGTTTGGTAATGCTGTTTTTGCCCCCAGGGCACATGTCCCATGCTCAGGTCGCATGGGGATGAGTGCGTGCGCATCCAATGACCCGCGCATGGGGCATGTACCCTTAGAGGCAAAATTTCCGTGTCCGTGTCGATTCAGCTCTTGTGATCACCGCCATGACCATGAGGGTAACCTTTCGGTGTATGATGATTCTCAGAGCCCATTATGAACAACGCTTCATTCATGTTTTTTTCTTTCTTTCGCGGGTGTGCTAAGCACGTATTTCATTAGGAGGAAGACATGCTGAACATTTTAGAGTAGTGTTGATGCGTAAACACCATGTATCCATGTCCATTACGACAGCTAGCATTCTCGATCCGATGCAACTCCTCGTATGCAGTTATCTTATCCAGATGGAGTGCAAAAAAAAAGGCCGTGTGCTTTGTGAAGGAGGAGAATAATTCCACTTGATGCACGCGTACAAACCTTTTTTCCTTTCTTTCTGAGAGATGGACAAACTGAACACAAAGTGACCCTTCGCGTACATGACCGCATTACCGCTGTCAACTTGCATGTTTAAAAGCAAAGTTGCAGCAAACTGAGGCGCCGCTTTGGCTTGGCAAGGGGCAGTACTCAGTTTACTAAACTTTATCATCTTGACCTTGTAACGTGCATGCATGCTTGTTCGCCTGATCTCCCAGATTGCTGGTCCCAACTACACACCACACATAGATGAATCATGAATGGGCAATATATTTATAACTTTGCTAAGTCTGCCAACTACACCACCGGATATATATCCATCGTCACAATGCCCTATATATATACTCATCAGGGCACAGCTTTATGTTAGTGACTCCTTACGGTGCACCAAGTGTCCTTTCAGCCGTGTGTGTGGTGCCCTCCCTTCGACTCTGCCAGATCACGTGGCGGAGTTGGGTAGTGACCCAGTGGACCGGACGATGGCCTCCTCTGTATCAGGGCGCCAGACCTGGCTAACCCGCTCAACAGGGCTGTCATGGAGTTAGAGATCGAGCTCACGGGTGGGTCTCCTCCTCCGGTTGCAAGCCATACCACGCCCTACTCTCCGTTGCGCCCGGCAGGCAGGCATGGGCGAGGGCTGCGCCTGGGTACGATTGAGCCGCCGCTACTCACGTCGCAATGCTGGTATTTCAGTCGCAAAGTTAGCTGCTAAGTTAGTACAACTCTTTAGCTCCACCGTTGCAGCCGGTGATTTGTGTGTGTGTTCGTCCGGGTGACTGGCATTGGCGCCTCGCCATTGGCAGCCCCGGCCTTTGTACGTTTCTATCTCCTACTTAATGAAGCAGGTGCCAATGCACGCTCTCGAAAAAAAATGTGTGTGACACCTAATATTGATTGGCCTTCTCTTTTATTTCTAAGTTCTAGCAAAAACTCCTCAGCATGCTTAGGTTTCTGAAATTTTACTGCCTGGAGTGTTATCATGTTTTGTTTTGGTTCACATCTGAGCAGTTTCTCTACTTGCTATCAACCATGTATAGGAACGACGAAGAACACGTGCTTCCTCGAGCAAGTGGCCAGTATATTTGGGAAGAATGATGGGATCATCGTTGTACGCTCACTGAACACATGATGAACCAATGATTAACTACAAAATAGTTGATCTACTTTCTTTTCTCATCTTAAATCTGTTTCTGATTCTGAAAGAAGAGAAACTGTCATGTGTGTTTTCAGGGCTGTCAGAGTGGCAGGAGATCTCTCATGGCAGCATCTGAGCTCAGCTCCGCTGTAAGCATTATCATCTTATGATCCTCGGTATCTTATCATGTCGCCAATCAGTTCTTGGCTTCCCTGTGATTCACGGTTGTTTTCTCTCATATGCAATGCAACCATTTTCAGGGTTTCACGACTGTGACCGACGTCGCCGGTGGATTCTCTTCATGGACGGAGAATGGACTTCCTATTACCCAGTAATGTTTGCCCCCCAAATCTGTCTACTCTGGCTCCGGGTCTGCTCTTGGATCATAGATTGTAGCCTTCTTGGCTTTTAAATTAATGTAATACTCACTTTGATTATAAATATATGACGCTTGGACAATTGAATCATTTCAAATTTGGGAATTGGGTTGCACGAATTAGAATTTTTAAAATCATTATACTAATAGAACTACAAAATCGTTATATATTAGAAAACAAGTTACAAGACGGCGAAGTTGGGTTTTGGTATGTTAGAAAACAAGTCACTTTTCAGTTGTCCAACACCAGTCCCAGGCAAAAGCTGTACCATCACAATAGCCAATAGGCGACCATGCATGCATATGTATGCCAAAGCTAATTAGCTTGTTAGAGCAAGTATAACAATAGTTTTATAGCCAAGCTAGTTAGCATTTTTGATAATGTGGAGGAGAGAATGAAAGAAAGGGAAAACTTAGCTCATGCAAGCAGCAAGTTGGATACGGCTCTGCAGTGGTGGGCCTAGATATTAAGTGAACGTGGAGAATTAGCACTACTGGAGGCCGCGGCTTTGCCGAGTGTTTTTACACTCGGCAAAGAGCCCTTTGCACTTGGTAAAGGCTTTGCCGAGTGTAGCACTCGGCAAAGTCCGCTCGGCAAAGGGTCTTTGCCGAGTGCTTTTTATTGGGGCACTCGGCAAAATAAAAAATAATTTTTGCTGAGTGCTTAGGGCGGCACTCGGTAAAATATTTTCGGCCGTTGCGCGCCGACCGTTAACGGTTATTTTGCCGAGTGCCTGACCCAGCACTCGGCAAAAAAAAAAATTAAAAATTACTTTGCTGAGTGCCCCGGCCCTTATTTTTTTTAAAAAAATACTTTGCCGAGTGCCCTGTCTAGGCACTCGACAAAGTTTTTTTTTATTTTTTTTAAAATAATTTCTTTGCCGAGTGTCCCTGTTTAGGCACTCGGCAAAGAATTTCTGGATTTTTTAAAAAACTACTTTGCCGAGTGCCGCGGCGAGGCACTCGGCAAAGAAATTTTTTTTTTGAAAAAACTTTGCTTGCCCATGGCACTCGGCAAAGACCCCGAGAATTGCAATTTTTTTACATTCCATTGTAACAGACAATATATATATACATCAATCATCACATCTATATCACCAACATGCATTATATATCACAAGCACACGCATATTTAATAAATCCATCGAAAATCCATCACAAATGCACCAAAGTTCAACATCACAAGTTTATTATTACAAGTTCAACATCACAAAGTTCAACATCCCTACTACGGCGACGGAGACTGCAGGTGTGGCCCCCTGGACAGCGGTGAAGGACCGGACTGCGGCGAAGGGTCGGCGAAGGGTTGACGTGATCAGCCACCGGTGACACGCTAGCGGGATTGTTTGAACCCACCGACGGAGGCTGCACAAAAGAGAAGAGATTGCATGTGTTAGACTCAAAATTGAAAATTTTGGCAGCACCTCCCCTGCACGGGGAGGTTTCCAACCTGCAAGAAACAACGATACGAAGGCCGACAATCACAACGGCACGAAGGCCGACAATCCCAACGGCACGAAGGCCGAAAATCAAAACGGCACGAAGGCCGACAATCCCAACGGCACGAACGCATTAAACTTTCATACTCACAGGACTGAAGTGTCGAACCGGAGCTGGAGCTGGCAACTGCACTTGGACACCCGATGCTTGCCCGATGGTTTGCATGATCTGATACATGTCTGCCATCTGCTTCTTCGTGGCCTCCAGCTCTACGGTCAGGTGCGCTTGCATCTCCCTTATCTCTGCCAGCTCGGCCTGCAGTGTTTCAATCATATGTTTTAGTATTGCAAATCTGATCAATGTGTGTAATGTTCAATGTACGACGAGTGAAACCAGAATTACCTGAAGTTCGTTGACCCGCGACAGAGTTGGAGTAGGCCGTGCACGTATGGGAAGGCTTCTGGCCGTGCTCCGTGCCCTCACGTCGAAGAGAGAGGGTGCAAAGCTCGAGGAGTCGGCGCCGTATGCAATCCACAACCGCCCGTGCTTCCTGCCTTGCCCTAGCCTCACAAACACCTCTATCTCAAGGGGCTCAGTGCTCAGATTGTGATCTGAGCCACGGAGCGCCCTAACCGCCTCCGTGTAGTCTCTGACCTTAGCGTGGACGCTCGGGTAAGAGTAAGCTTGGGTAGGGGCACGCGTATGGCGTATGATACACCTACACGGCCTATTGAGCCACAATATAGACATCTTTTCCTTTATAGACGGAATCATGCCTAATCTCGACTATCCCAAGATGAGGGGTCCGTCTCGTTCGTGCAGGATCAAACCAGTGGCACTTGAATATGACAGGAGTAAGAGGTACCCGGCCCTCATATTCAAGTTCATAGATCTCCTCAATTATTCTATAGTATTCGACGCCATTAGTGCCCGGCATAAAAACTTGGCTGTTGGTGGTTTTTCGACCGGGCTGAGTCTGCTCGTGTCTTGACATGTGGAAGCGATATCCGTTCACGTCATAACCGGTATATGACTTCACCCTTAACTTAAAGCCGTTTGCAACTCATCTATCACAGGCTCCATGAAGACACCCATATTACTCCCCGGGTGTCCAGGGATTATCAACGATAGGAACACGGTATGCCGTTGAAAGGAGACGCCGGGGGGGGGGAGATTCAGTGGGATGACGAACACGGGCCAACATGTGTATGGTGCAGCCATCATGCCATATGGATTGAACCCATCTGTTGCCAGCGCGACACGTACATTACGAGCCTCCTCTGCTTTGAGAGGATGCCGCGAATTGAAGTACTTCCATGCATCAGCATCGGATGGATGTACCATCTTCTCAGGATTGTATCGTGTGCTGTTTTTGTGCCATGTCATATGTTTCGCGGATTCCTCGGTCATGAATAGCCGTTGGAGCCTCGGCAGGAATAGAAGGTGTCGTAGGACTCTCATGGGGATCTTAAGCTGCCTCTTTTGGCCATCGCCTGAGTCTACCTCACGCACTGGAGGATTTACTTTGGCAAAGATTTTTGCATCCGCGTGTTCTTTCCTAAATAGGACGCACCCTTCGGACACACATGTATCTTGTCATACGGCATCTTAAGTGCAAGAAGGAGCTTCTCTGACTCATACAAGTTCTTCGGCATAATGTGTGTCTTCGGTAGCATATCGCTCCACACGGCCACCATCTTGTCGAAGCCTTCTCGACTTAGGTTTAACTCGGCCTTCAACCCCATTACGCGACCAATGGCATCCAGCTGAGAAACATTAGTATGATCGTGAAGGGGTCTCGTGCCGAGTCCAACATCGTAGAAGGCATATGCGCAGCCTCCATCTCCTCCTTGTCACGCCCTTCAATGAATCGAGCTTGGTGCGTGTCATCCAAAGATGTCCGCTACCCGGCATCATCATCGAAAGCCTCGAGCCGTGGTCTCACCACCTCCTCCCTGATACGATCGGCTTCACCATGGTGGATCCACCGGTGGTAGCCCGGAGTAAATCCAAACTTCACAATATGTTTACCCATGGTTAACCTATCTTTCCTTCTTCTGTTGTCACAACCACCGCTGCTGCGGACAAACCACTAGAGAATGGCCTCCAAAGACTCTCGCTAAATGCATGCTGTAAGAATTCTTTGACCTTGACTATAAACAGCAAGTCGTAATCGTGCTCGTCTCTCCGGAGGGTGTACATCCACTCACGGTCCTCCATCCTTTAACAGACGTATCAGCACATATGAGTCACCATCAATTGCATCTACGCGGTGTCCCTACTCTCTAATAGGTGAGGATAGGTCCTAATCCCACCCGCGGATCCGTAGATGATGTTAGTTTCCATGCTCCGCTCCTATCCGAGATGGAATTTCGGCAGCACCTCCCTGCTGTTCTCCCGATACACGTCCTGCAAGGGAAAGTGTGTATCCGGAGAACAACAGGGGGGTGATGCCGAAACACCGTCTTGGACCGGAGCGGACCATGGAAACTAACCCATCTACGCATCCGCGGGCTGTCCAAAAAACGTAGACAATCCGAAACAGAAATGCTCGTAGATATGCAAAGATCTGCATACCTCCAAACATATCTCTTTCGGACAAGAGACGCCTAACTAGGCTACACCGATCTACGATGACAGACAAGCGGAAAAAGAGGTGATTTATACCTAGGGTGTCGGTGAAGTTAGGCTAGCGAGGCAGTGGCGAGTCAACGCAGTGTAGGCAGACCCGCGACGCCGACGAAGACGATCGGGGACCTCCGGGTCACCTCCGACAGGTCCTTCTCTGCAAAAAAAGAAACACGACACTATAAGTTCAAAATTTCGGCAGCACCTCCCCTGCACGGGGAGGTTTCCAAAACCTACAAAAAACAACGGCATGAAGGCCGACAATCACAAACGGCATGAAGGCCGATAAGCACAGCGGCACGAAGGCCGACATCACAACGGCACGAAGGCCGACAATCACATACGGCACGAAGGCCGATAAGCACAGTGGCACGAAGGCCGAGCAGAGAAAGGGTGGATATACCTTGCCCACGCTCGTAGGCGGTTCGATGACGGTAGGGGCGTCGGCAGGACGGGCACGCGGAGAAGACGGCTGAGGCACCTCCTCCTCCCCTCCACCTCGGCTTCCTCCCCCTCTCCCCTTCTCCTCCTCCTTCCTCTCCTCCTCCTCCTTCCTTTTTCTTCTCTTTTTTCCTTCTCCTTCTTCCTTTTCCTTCTTTCTTTCTCCTCTGTTTTCTTCCTTCTTCCTTCTCCTCCCTTCTTCTTCTTACTGCTGCTTCCTCCTCCTTCTTCCAAGCCGGCGACAAGACCAGGGGGGGGCGGGGGGCGGGCTGGCGTCTTGAGGGGAGGACAGCCGCGCGGCCGTGGGCAGGTGGCAACTGTGTGATGACGGCGGCTGGCTTGGCCTGGGAGTCATGTGGCCGGGCGGCACGGCCAGTGGGGTGCTTTCGGGGTGGGGCGCCAAGGTGGTGAGGGGCTCGCCGGGCGTGTGGTATGGAGGTGTGTGGCTGG